TTATCAGGTCATTCCTGAGCAGCGTCTGGGCAAACGTGCATCCCTGCATGCGACCTCTAAGTACAGGAGAGGGGCTAGGAGGGACAAGCAAAGGGGAGTTTATTCTTTTCATTCAATATACCCTTGTATTATTTGAACTCTCTTACAAGAACATTCATTTATTACTTGTAAAAATTAAAAATTAACTGTGCTTAACAGAATATTATGATGTGTACATACTTGAACTGAACAGGCCCAAAGCTCTTTATAGGAATATAAAAAGCAATGAAAGCCTGGACACGTTCTCTCCGCACTGCGCTGTTGATGCTCAGCCTGTGGCCGGGGACACGTGGTTCACAAGGGTCCCTGCACAAACCCACAGGCCAATCTCTCCATAGCGTGAGGAGCTACAGCAGGGATCACTTCCACTGTACTTTTTAGCACCAATAACTTGCTTCAAGAATTTAGAAAACTCTGATACTGAAATCACTGATGTTTCATAAAAGTCCCCAACAGTCTTATACAATGTGATGAAAGGAAGAGGGGCAGCGCTGGGGGGCCCCGGAGCCAGGGAGCTGTCTGCGTGGCGGCTCAGTGCGGCCGTGGCCAGGCGGGGACCTGGGTCTCAGGAAGCTGGGGGCAGCTCAGGGCAGTGCTGCTGGCCTCTCCCCTCGAGTTCTAGTCCCTGCTGCCGCGCCCCTGAGGGCTGTCCCGGGGAAGGGCCCCCAGGCCGGAGCCTGCCTCTCCTAAACTCCCAAGTCAGGCTGGGTGCGCTGCTGTCTTGAAATTCCCACCGAGCCAGAACAATTCCTCACGCTATTTCTAAATACCCTGGAGAAGCAGCAATCAGTTACAATTCTGTACCTTTGTGAAAACCCCTACCACTCCTGCACCTCTCTGAAGAGGCACCGGAGCTTCCCCCAGACCCGCGGGGGGTCCAGGACTCACGACATATACTTATAGAAGGCAGGAAGAGGCACATAGACGCCAAGAGGGCCACGGAGGACGACCACCAGTGAACTCCGCAGAGAAGTTTAGAGGCACGTACATTTTCGTTTTAGTTCACCCCTGTGACACTGATTCATTTAAACAAACATTAATAGCTTGTCCTGTCTACCAGGTGATGAGGACGGGACACAGATAAGATATAAACAAACACACAGTTCCCTCTCTCAAGGACCCTACTGTTGAGCAAGAGGGACAGTGAGCCATCTGGAGTGTGCACAACTTGGCATCACCCCATCCAGTTCCATAGGGAAGAGGCCATCGGGGCATGTACCCTCTGCATTTCATCATCCTCTTTTTTTAACATCAACAACCCCTGTTCTTTTATCCAACTGGTGAGCCTACTCTGTGCCTGGCTGCGTCCCGTGCACCAGAATTGGGTGCTTCTACAAAGAGAGTCTCATGCCACAGTCATGTTTTCCTTCTTACAGACATTGCACACATCCTGAGGTGCTCCATTGGTTCCAAGTTGAAAATAATTCTGAATTTAAAAAAATTTAAACTATTAAATTAGGCACTGTCTTGTATTATACATCACATCACTATAAGGCTAATAAATCAAAGTAAGTTGGGTAAGTCAATGTTTTCCAAAGACAAGTAGGTGCTCTAGAAAATGGGTTACAGCCCTGGCCGGTTTGGCTCAGCGGTTGGAGCATCGGCCTGTGGTCCTGAGAGACCCGGGTTCGGTTCCCGCTAAGGGCACGTACCTCGGTTGCAGTTTGTCCCCGACCCTGGTTGGTCGTGTGGATGGCAGCCACTCGATGTGTCCCTTTCACGTCGATGTTTCTCTCTCTCTTTCCCTCTCTTCCTCTCTCCCTCCCACTCTATCTGAACAAAAAATGGAAAAATGTCCTCGGGTGAGGATAAAAAAGAAAGAAAGAAAGAAAACGGGTTACAGCGAACGATGGCAACCAGAGAGGCAGCAACAGTGACGGACTCGGATCTGCAATCCGGCTGTAACGAAGCGCCGGTCCCAAGTGCGTCTCGGTGGCACCCTATCCAGGTCTGCTCCACCTTCTCTACCAAAGTGAACATTAAGCTCTGAGGACCCGACTGACAGAAGCCACAGCCCTTGAAAGAATTAAACCCAGAAGTAACTCTGCATGTTAATGTCACCAAGAGGCCACCCTGGGAGTCAGGACAACTCCGGACCGCGCGCGCGGCCAGGGTTTCCCCAGAAGCTGCACTGCCTGGTCCCGCCAGGGCCTCCTCGGAGGCAGCACCCTGCCTGCCTGTCAGCACACGCGTGTTCCTCGCAGCTCGTCACGCGGCGGTCATCCACAGCCAGGGGCCTCCTACCCGATTCCAGCGTCTACTCCGACTACTGATGTTCCCTTCTGCAAACCAGACTTTCTTTACCGGCTTAGTTTCTCTCTCCTCCCCACTCCGAAACACACAAAAAGAGCTTTAAAAAATACCCCATCAGATTTGATGTTTTCAGCTCGCTAAAGGTTTCCTGTGCTATAACCTGAAGTGAACGTACGTGGTTTCAGTTTCTACGTGTGTTTCTGTATTAAAATAGTGACTGTTGGGGGTTGAAAAGCTCTCTGAAGATCCCAGAAACTAACTGGTTATCAAATAAATACTAGGACTTCCATTTTTTCATTTATCTAACATTTAACACACACTCAGAAAGCACCTACTTTAGAAGTTAACCTACTCCTTAGATACAAATAACCTCACATTCGGAAAGTTAAACGCAACTGAAACCATGAAGGAGAAAAACACAGGAGCAAAGGCCTGCCCTTGCTCCCAACTCTCCCACGGCAGCCACCATTCCAGAAACTCTCCCGAGAAGCAAGCACGTGGGAGGAGGGCGGCACGACCCGGTCCAGGCACAGCCGCTGGGACCGCAGGGAAAGAAGTCTGACTCTCCGGGAGGATGTGCCAAGACGCCACAGCTGGTCGCTGAAGGCCGAGCGTGCCTCTGGCGTAAGGCTAAGTACTTCGCACGCACTAGTCATTGAGCTAACGCCCATGACAGTCCTAAAGGCAGGGACTGTGATTACCCCACTTCACGAGGGGAAGTGAGAGACCAGCGGAATGAGTTCAGTGGGGCAGGAGAAAGGCAGGGGCAGCCCTCCACCCCTGGAGCAGATGGTGAGGCCACCAGGAGGTGTGGGATGTGGGCAGGACTGGCCGAGGCCCAGGGGTGGGACGTGGAAGGGACCTGTGGCAGGAGTGCAAGTGGAGTGTGACTGAAGGCAGGAGGCAGTGTGGCTGGAGCCGACTGGGAACAGTGGGAGGGACACGTCAGGGAAGAAGCGGGGAAGCCAATGTCAAGGGCCATCCACTGGGAGGGCTCGGGTTTTGGTTCTCAATGACGTGGGAAGCTTGAAAGTGAACAGAGGAGTGACATGAACGGATGAAAGGGAACTGCTGTTTCCTTTATCAGTGGTGGTTCCCTGACACTGTCACCTCGGTCACCTCCGTCTGGGGACCCAAAGCATTCCCCTTTTACAGCCGTCCCCACTGCAGTCCCTACCTGGCTTTGCCCAGAGCCCCAGGGTCTGCTCTCACCTAAACTGTGGACAAATGAAAACCTCGCAGCAGGATGGAGGAAAGGAGACCTCCTCCTAACCCACCCCCCCCTGCCCCCCATCTCCTCCCTAAGACACACACGCTCATGGCTTAGGTGGCATTGCCTGCATGGGAAGAAGCAACCCTTCACGAAATTCTCAGAGAAAGTATGTAAGTATCTGAACGTATTAGACACACAACGCTGCAATCAGCTCTCTTGGGGGCCACCCATTTGCAAGGTTCTCTAGAAGACTCTTCTGGAAGAGGGAAGCTGAGACCAGAGCAGGCAAGGAGCTACGGCCTCAGTACATCAAATGTGGCTTCCAGATTAACCACAACTCTCGGCTTGAACACACCAGGATTTCCAAAATCTCACATATCAACCATAAGCTGCATAGAAATGAACAGTTCCAAATGTCTTGACTTATGTTTCACCAACCTACTTTTCCATAAGACAAGGCAATTCTTTTCAGATAGACCAGATAGTCATATTCCAGTTCACACTGGATTTTGAGATGTTCTTCACGTACAATAAGTTAGGTCAAAGAAAACAATTAAAGATGCTCCAGCACAGTTTTAAGATGCGTCCATAGCCTTCACCAGAACTCAAGCATCACCGAACCAGAGAAAGTGAAGAACCACGGCTCTAAAACAAACTGCACACCTTCGATATGGTGAAGGCCAACTGCTCTCACCTCGGCGAATATAGGATAATTTTTGGCTAAATTACCTGGTTTTAAAATTGTTTTTCTTTTTAAAGATATAGTATCAGACTGACATTTGTTAGCATGCACTTGAACACTGAAAAAATGCAGTGTGTTTCTATCATAACTCTCATTCCCAGACCATAATCAAGCATCATTATTAAAAATAAGGTAAAAACAAGCCCCACCCATCTCAGGAACACCTGCAGTGGGACACCCCTTCCGGAGCCATGCATCAGCTCTTCTTCTCCAGAACACACTAACGTGAAGAGCAGTGTCCTGTACCCGCTAACATGGTCCCTGTATCTGACCTAATCCTACTCTGTAGATGAAGGAATGAAGCAGAGAGATCAAGTACACCATTCAGGATTCCAATGTCAAACTCTCCACACTGCACCGCGATGTTCACAGTACCTTCCAACATGGGTCTCAGTGACTACTAACCGTATTTACAGAGAGGAGGTGACTAGAAGAATCTAAGATTGGAAAAGTACCAGACCTTTAAAAAAAATTACAAGAAGCAGTTAAGAGATTACCTGAAATGCTAACTTTCCCATTTTCCTCGGTTCTGACAAATATACTTTAAACATTTGCCATTTAAAAGGCAAAAGAAACTAACTGCCCGCTTTGGGGATATACAGCATTCGTGAAACTCAACCCGGTCATTAAGATGCAGTTAACAGAAATTCTCTTAGAAATTACTTGTAGATATTAAAAAAACAAACAATTGATTCGACCAACTGCACTCTAGCCAGTAGAATTCAAGTGTGCAGATATTGGCAGGTGACCTACCTACTGCGGGGGCATCATACTCGTCACCAAGCAGAATTTCTGGAGCAGAATATGCGAGAGATCCACAGCTAGTTGTGAGCTTCTTCCCTGGCTGAAATTTGTTGCTGAAACCAAAGTCTGTCAGCTTCACAAGACCTTGTTTTTCAAAGAAGACCACATTCTCGGGTTTTAAGTCCCTGTGAACCACATGGAGTTTATGGCAATAAGATATAGCATGAACTATCTGAGCAAAGTACTTCTTGGCCAAGTCTTCATTAAGACCCTCCTCGTGTTTCATTATGTAATCGAACATGTCTCCTCCATCCCCAAGTTCCAGAATGAGATACAGTTTGGTCTGGGTGTCAATCACTTCATAGAGGCGCACGATGTTGGGGTGCTGCACCAGTTTCATGCACCTCACTTCTTGGAAGAGATGGCCAGTCGCTAGTGTGTCCAATTTTGTCTTGTCAATAACTTTCACGGCCACCTTTTCCCCGGTGAAGACATGCCTGGCAAGTTTCACCACTGCGAAATGGCCTCGGCCCAAGGTTTTATCCAGATCATATAATCCAGCGATCTTTCCATCATATCCTCGCTTGAATCCTGCCATGCTGGGCCAACAGAAGAAAAAATATTTACACTCTTTGAAATGGATCTTCTCATATAAGAATATCTGGTGAAAATAAGGAACTCATTTTCAATGTTGCCATGGACAGCTGTAAAATCAGAGGAAGAATAAAATAAGTTTCCATAACATTTCCTTTTATAACTTCATGTTTTTAAAAAATTTTGAGAAGCCTGAAGTAAATGGAAACTGAATTCTTATTTCAAACCGCCCACCCTTTATAAACATCTGCCTACTCTAAAAAAAATGTTTCATTAGGATACTAATATCTTAAGAGTTGAACTGTCAACTATAAGAGGCATAAAGTCATTCTCCCGTGCAAATGGAAATGATACGACTCGCATATCTGGGTCTCTCTCTCTCTCTCTCTCTCTCTATATATATGTATGTATAAGTCAAAAATATATATTGACTATCTCAACATATGCACACATAAATATATAAACTTAAGCCAATGTTAATGTGTACTAATGTTTATGTTTCAGTAATTACTGTAATAATAAATATCAACCACCACTTACTAAATGAGTACAATATACCAGTTACATGTGAAATACTTTACATCACCCTCACTTGATCCTTACAGTTGGCTATCAGTAGCTCCATTGGCGGCAGAGTAGTAACTTGGCCGAGGCTACGGGGCCAGTGTGGAAAAGAGGTGAGCCATCTGACATACAAAATCTGTGCTTTGCACCACTGTGCTACACTGTTTCTACAAAGTAATTTCAGAAACCAAAACTAAATTATTAATTCTGTTTCTGTTAAGATTCTTTAAATAAGAAACCTGTATTATGTATAGGTGTTGGAGAAAAAAGCGAATTTCTTCTATACTGTATATTATCCTTGGCACCTCAGCTAGTAATTTTAATAAAAGTAACAAGAAAATCTAAGTGGTAAGAACTTGCTTTATTTGGACAGTAGTTCCCCCCAAAAAAGTTTCACTTGAGCATATTTAATTTTCAAAAATAGAACTCTAAGCTAAGGGGGCAGAAAAGTAGCTTTAAATCTTCAACTTCAATTCATTATAAGGACAGTAATTATTCTTCAAATCCTACCCAAGTCCATGTTTCTATTGCACAAGTCTGCAAATGCAACTTTAGCTTTCAAAACAAAGTGCAGGCTGCCAAGTTATGTAATTTTTTTCCATCTATCACTTTAGTTTAGATGTATTCCTGGAAAGTGACATACAAGTCACACTTTAGAAGTATATCTAAATTTGTTTAAATTAAATTTTAATTTAACTAATATAAAATTTTTATTACAACAGTAATAAATGAATAAAGAGATAACAAAAAGTCTTTTTCAGAGTTCCCAAAGCTAATCACTGTTGACACTGTGACACTTCTCTTCTCGGAACTGTGACAGCAGAAGGGCACTATGGAATAATGTTCAATCTATTAGCAAGTTCATGGGAAAGAATCTAATAGGATCGCTTCATAACGACAGACTACCCTGTAGTGAAATGATGAATCATTCTCACTATCAAAAAATTTACTTTCTTTATACACATATCCCTTTTTCAGTGTCTATAAAACTACAATTGTATACCCTAAAAAAATCATAATTAACTGAAGGTTGGGAGGAAAAATTTCCTTTAACCCACTGTCTAATCTCACTATCAAGTGTATTTTGAGTTGGTGCAGGAAATGTCACAGCGCTGTGTCTGTCTCTGAGGACCTCGCAGTGACCAGGGCCGACTGCTGAGATGTGGCTGACACAGAGCAAAGGTGACTTTGAACGGGCTCCGAGACATACCCTGCAAATTGCAGACTGAATAATCCTTGTTATTTCTGTGTTTTCTTAGTTGCTTCTTTCTCCTAAAAGAAAATACAGAAAAAGACGTTAGTTTAGTTCTATTTGTTTTAAATTTGCTTAAAGTCAAAATATATGCCCTAAGGCTAGATCCAAGCATATAAAAATGGTGTATCTGTCTTTAGTGACCCATTATCTCCCATTATCTTTCTCCCCAGTATGAACTGCGACCCATTCCAAGAATCTTTGTAGTCAACAAGAATTTCACAGTGAACAGATCCAGAGACTGTTCCAGGTAGAGAGGTCAGAAAGATTATTCCACGGAAAGGAGGAAGAAACAATAATGAACAACAGCAAACTGGCCATCTTCTACAGGCCCCTGGGTGGCAGGCACCAAGTCCGCATTTCACAGACTCCTCACCAACAGCCTGCAGGGTGGGCTCAAAGTGCCCAATCAGCAGCCCTCTGGCTTCCAAGCCCAACCTGCCTGCAGAAGCTCCTCCAGGCTCACGTCACCCTCACTCCAGTAGCTCAGGGGCGACCTTTCCAACACAGTCCTCCAGCAGGCCAGCAGAAACCGATGATGATGCCACCACCAGGGAACACACAAAATACCTTTGCACTAGAGGCTTTCCATTTGATAGTGAAGAAGAAACTATCATCACCATAGACAAGAGAACGTGAGCAGGTCACTGGTATCTAAGTTCGTGGCACAGTGAGGGAGTACTGACTTCACGTAGCCTTGCAGACCTCTCCGGGACACGAACCATCACACAAATAACTGAGAGGCCTCAACATTCATGCTAGGCTAAAGGCAATTTACGCAATACACTATCGGTGAGTGTCCAGGTAATTATTAAGTTCAAGTTCACATGAACTTGTGGGAAAGGGAATACAAAGAGGTGGGGGGAAGTAGACAGGAAAGGTGAAAGAAGGAGGAAAGGGAGCCTGGCCAGTGTGGCTCAGTGGTTGAGCATCGGCCCATGCACCAAGAGGTCACCAGTTCAATTCCCGGTCAGGGCACATGCCCAGGTTGTGGGCCAAATCCTCAGTGGGGGGCATGCAGGAGGCGGTCAGTCAATGTTCTCTCTCATTGATGTTTCTATCTCTCTCTCCCTCTCCCTTCCTCTCTCTCTAAAATCAATAAAGAAAAAAAATTAAAGGAGAAGTAAAGAGAGGTGTGAAAGCAAGTTTACTGCTGGGAATGAGGGAATGAAGAGAGATGGAGACAGTTCTACAGCACAAAACTGGGCCAGCAAAGTCATGGGCACAGGGCTGGATCTAATAACAGGTGCACCCTGGATGCACCTGGTCCTTCAGCTCCAAGTGGGACACAGTAGCTCCTCCCATCACCTGTGCCTGCTTCTCCTGTTCAGTAGCCTCTGTTTCATCCACAGTCTCTATGGCAAGACGGTGTGATGGTCCAATGTGGTTGGCATTGGTTCTGAAGGCCGATGCCTGGATTGGAATCCCAGCTCACCAATCACCTGAGCAAAACCTGATCACTCTGTGTGGTCAGTTTCGTCATTAGAAACTATAGTAGTAAGAACAGAACCTCATGGTTGTGGTGACGACTAAGTGAATTAATGTAGGTAAAGTGTTTAATATAAAAGCTGGCACCGAGTAAGCATTCATTAAATACTAGCTACTACCACCACCATCTTGTTCTGACAACGGTATTCTCCCTCACCCAAGTAGAAATTCTTCAATCTTCCATTCCAAGAGAATGAATCTATTGAGCTATTATCTCTCTTTGGCTTTCATAAAAATTCTGCTGCTCATTTTCCTAAAATGTATTAAATTGAAAATGGGTGCCGTAAGATTGATAAAGGAAATAATGTCTCTAGTTGAGCATCCAAGTCTGATGATTTTTCAATAAAACATCACACAAAATCTAAGTACTTGCTTCTAAATTGATACTAAGATGACTATCAAATCTATCCTTACAAAAAAAGGGCTATTTCTTTACATCTTTTCCCATCAAAGTAATATATTCTTATAGAAAAATCTCAAACATACAGAATAGAAATCAGAAAGAATAAAGAGCTATCCACAGTTCCACTGCTGAAGATCAGCACTATGAGGCGGTCTTTCTGCAAATATTCATATACAACCTCTTTATTTTGTTTTACAAAGATGTGACCATTCTGTACGTAACTTTATATCTTGCATCCTGCTTTTTCACTTGTCCTATCATTTTTCTTTTAGTATTTTTGTTTCAATTATGAAAGAACTATCTGTGTAATATAGAAAAAAATTCAATTAGAACATATAAATTGGCAAAAAGAGGGGATTTTTAAAAAATCATCCATTATTCTACCCTCTGTAATAACCTCTGTTAACATTTTGGTAAAAGAGCCTTCCGAATTATTTTCTATGTATAATGCATGCCCAGACGAAAATTTTTAAATAAAATAGAATACACTAGCACGTGAACACACAGACACGGAGGGCTGTATTCATTTTTAAGTATTTCTCCTCACAAAGCAATACAAGCATGTTCACTTTAAAAAATTTGGAAAATGCAGAAAAGCACAACAAAGGTAAAAAATCCACCTATAAGCGCATCTAGAGATTTGAGTATATATCCTTTAAACCTATACATCTTTACAAAATTAAGTTGCATATGAAGGGTGATCAACACTGTTCCTCTACAAGAAGAACACTTTCCCATGCACCAAGTTATTCCAAATCAATATTTATAATGACTAAATAGCTAAGATGACAACTTTTAAAGCAGGAAAACCACAAAATGAGGCCATTCCAAAGCAGTCTTCTAGTTCAGCATATGCTCACACATGCATAAAACAAGGCTGGACCTAAAGGAAAAGCCGAAAGTCAGGGGTGTCCCTAACATCCGGGAAAGAAGTGCTGGCCTGTGCTGCAAGGATCTGCTGCTGTTCTCCCAGCTAACAGAGCAGAAGCAACTGCCGAGCGGGTGTGGCTGCAGAAGAGGAAGGAAGTGTGGGTGGCCCTACACACATTTTGCAAGCTGCTGAAAACAGTTGTAGAACCAGCCTCTGTTAAACCTCCTGTCATTTTGGAACTCGCCCTGTTATTCTTGTCAAAATTCTCTTTTAGCTTGTCACTGACATCATCGCCACTGCGGCGTGGTCTGTGTATCAACAATGTCTCCTGCTCACACCCCCAGGAGAGGTGAGGACAGAACGCGCACTGAACAAAGGTGGCTCTGCCGGGACACCCACTGGGAACCAGCCCGGCCTGAGAAAGGAGGAGTTCAATCAAAAGGACCACGTGCAAAAACTAGGCCACTTCTATAACCTCTCTGTGTTTTCATGGGAATATTATACATTTCCCCACAAAATCATGGGAATATTATAAATTTCCCCAGAAAATCAGACCACCAATATTCAAATGTACAAAAATTTCAAATGTATGCATTTAAAAAAACAGATGTGCTCTCTAATACAAACAACTAAAAGATGAGTTTTGAAAAGCCACACTAAAACTGTACGAAGCTTCTTACACATAGAGAGTATCTGGTGTCGTCTACGAATACAAACCAATGAAGACTGTAATTCTCACTCGGGAAAAAATCGAACTAAACTGTATGTTTATAGAAAAGCCAACTTGAGTGGAGGAACTAACACTCTCTCAAAGAACACTGCCACCCTGACCTGACTGCTAACCTTTCAAAGGCCTCTGTAACAAAAATGGCATAGGCTGAAAGGAAGCCAGAGATGAAATCCTCCGGGAACATCAGCAACCTTCAGGTCAAGCAAAAGAAACCCTCTCATGCAGCCGCCACTGCTGTTCTCTCATCCAAAGCAAACACTATTCCAGTTTCCACAACAGCGCTCCTCCTGGCAGCGACCAATACAAGCTGTAAATCAAGATGAAGAAACAGGTCCTAGGTTGTGGAAGAATCCAGTTTCCCACTGGACTGGATGACTGTTACTATATGGTTATCAGGTAGCATCAGTCTGCAGTCACTGGAAAGAATTGAGATGGGAACTACAAATTAAAAGGTTAAAGTCCATGATTTATTATGAGACATGTCCTACCAGGCAAAACTGTACCTTCAAATGTCTAAGAAAGTATTTCCCAACGGAAAGTAATTGCCTACTAAAGAACGTTCTGAAAGTTTTCTTCTAAGTAGTCGATTTCAATGGACTCGGGGTCACTGAGGTGGCCAGGGCTGCCAGGCTGAAAAGCCTGCTCCAGCCCTCGAGGCAGTGATTGGGTTGCCAATGCAGATCGATCCCCTGAAGTGCGGGGTTAAGTCATCTTTATTTCTTCTAAGTAAAACAAGCTATGGTCCAGGACAGATCAAGGGATCTGAATGTATTCAGGAGCCAGGCGAGTCATTAACTGATGGAGAGGAGTACTCAGTGTTTGTACAGATAAGGGGTTAGCATCCAAGCCACAAAACCTGGACCGGCAGCACAGGTAATAAGTTCAAATTCCTAAAGGCACTGCCTCTCCTCAAAGTGATGAAACATGCTAAGTGTGTTACTATGTCTACACCAACAGTAAGTGAGACAAAAAGTTAGTATGGTGACAGCCGTGGTATAAGGTGCTCACATAATAAATAACGACTTAAGCGAAAGCTGGAGTGCAGAAATTACTCCAAAATAAATAAGTCAACCCACAATTACTTCTTTGCCAGGAAAACAGGACATAGGCTGGAAGCTATGGAGAATTTAAAAACTTAATAATCAAACCTCTCTTCCGAAGCTTTTATTAACACTGTCAAAACCAATTTTATCTGCCTACTACCCCCCCCCACCCCCTGCTGACACCGTGGCGAAGACGGTTATTAAAATATGGTCAAAAAAGAATGTTGGAACAGAAAAGAATAAACGAATCCATAAACACCTACATTTTATTGAATTTGACTGAAAAGACAGAATCATCTGGGGATTCTCTCACACTGTTGGGACTGCAAATTACCTTTCTGAAAAGCCATTTGGTAATACAGTATGAGGAGCCTTAAAATAATTCATACCCTTGATTTTAAAATCTTACTACTAGATTTATGTCTTAATGAAATAAAGACATGGACAAACATTTATATTCAACAATGTTCAGTGATATATATGCC